GCAGTTGTGTGGGAGGAGACGAGGGAGGTTCGGTCCTATGCAAGTGCAGTGAAGGGCCATGCGGCAGCAGCCAGGCCAACCCCAGCACGCCCTGCCGTGGTGGTCTAGTGGTTAAGGTACTCGGCTGCTGACCCGCAGGTCACGGGTTGGATTCCCGGCTGCGGCGGCTGTATTTCCGATGGAGGCGGAAATGTTGTAGGCCCGTGTGCTCAGATTTGGGTGCATGTTAAAGAACCTCAGGTGGTCGAAATTTCCGGAGCCCTCCACTACGGCGTCTCTCATAATCATATGGTGGTTTTGGGACGTTAAACCCCACAAATCAATCAAGGCCAACCCCAGCACCACGCAACCTCCGCCGGCCAGCCCCTGCAGCCGCGACCAATACCCCAGCTGTGCCTGCAGCCCCGGCCGTCCAACCTCCTGCTCGTGTCTCCACGGCTGCAGCCGCCACCCCCAGGGCCCAGCCTGCTGAGAACTCTGCCCCGACGCTTCTATTGGAACAACTTCTGGGCCTCCTCCGGCTCTCCTTGCAGGCAGTCGCGGCCTTGCTTCCACCAGAGCACCCGCTCCGTGCCATCTGCCTGCAGGCAGGGGCTTGGCAACAGAACAACCAGCATGGCTAGTCCTCCCACCAGGCCACGTCAGCCCCGACGCCCGAGCGTCCTCCATTAGAACGTCCACTGGCTGGGATCACTGAGAGACGACTTAGCGCAACACCTGATCCACAATGACTACGACGTTCTCGCACTCCAGGAGGTCTACACCCAGGCAGAGCAGCTCCGACTTCCTGGCTACGTCGGCTACAACAGTCGGACTAGCTGCAGTGCTGCCCCTTGCCTGGACGACAACCACCCACAAGGGCTTTCTCGCTGTGCCGTCTAAGTGAAGCACGACCTGCTGCAGGCTGAGGTATCCGTGGCCGACCTGGTCGGAGGGCCCTTCGAGTGCTGCGCCGTCCGCGTCCACCTCAATGGGGTCGACACCACGGTGGCGAGCGTATTCATCAGACCCAAAAAACCCTGGAACCCCGGGTGTCTTCGGCAGCTTGCACACCGACTGGGGAAGGACTTCCTGCTGTGCGGTGACGTCAACGCCCACCGTCCAGCCTGGGGCGGCCGTAAGACTGACGTACGAGGGCGAGAGGTGCGTGACGTCTTGCTGCAGCTGGGTCTGGTGATCCTGAACACAGGGGGCGTCACCTTCCTTCGTCGCTGAGCCAACAGCACCAGCACAGCCATAGACCTCAGCGTGGCCAAGGAGGGTTGCCGGTACGCCTGGTCGCCGTTTCCGGACACGTGGGGTTCGGACCACCTGCCCATCCTACTCACCCCTTCCCGAGGCAAGGCCCCCAGGCATCGAGAGTGCCGTGTGGTAGACTGGCGGGGTATACCGGCAGCTGTTCAGGCAGGACACGGGTGACAGGGACCTCATGCAGCTGGTGGCTGACAGTGCCCGGCTGCAACCGTCGCTGTCGAGGCGCAGCAAGGGCAGCCTGTTCCAGACATCCAGCTCCTGGCCTTGAGAGCACCACGGAGGCGGGCAAAACGCCAGGCTCTGAAGAAGGGTCAACCGGAGCTCTAGACAGTGTTCCGGAAGGTCGACGCCGTCTGCAGACGCCACACCCGAGCACGCAGGAAGAGGGGCTGGGTGGGCGTCTGCGCCTCCATCGACCGATCACGGGACGGCACCAAGGTTTGGCGCCTGCTGAAGTGCCTGCTGATGGTGACACGGCCCTTCAACCAAGTGATGTCCCTGGCCGTCCACCTTTCCATCCAGGCTGTGGACCTGAGGGAACAGCTGGCCGACCAGTTTGCTGCGAGGGACATCGCCCAGCAGCCTGCAGCACCTTCTCTTGCTGCCCTGCAGTACCCTGCCACTTGCCACCATCCTGGGTGGACAGCCACACAAGCACAAGAACTGTGCTGCGAACCCATCAGGAAGCACGACTTCGAGGCTGCCCTTGCAGGATCCAAACGACGAAGTGCCCCGGCAGCTGATGGTGTCACCTTCCAGATGCTCCGTAACCTGGACGGAGCTGGCCGCCAGCATCTGCTCGAGTACTACAACGACGTCTGGAGCAGTGGGGTACTACCGGAGTCATGGCGCACTGCGGTCGTCACTTTTATCCTGAAGCCGCAGAAGAAAGCCACGGCCTCTCCATGTACAGACCAGTCTCTCTCACCTCGGCACCCTGCAAGGTGCTGGAGAAGGTGGCCTAGGAGCGACTCGACTGGATTGCTGGCCGAGTTGAGTTCTTCCCGGAACAACTGAATGGCTTCAGACGCCACCGGTGGGCAGCCGACTTTATCTCCGACGTCGTCACCACCCTCAAGGATGCCAAGAGCTGTGCTGACGTGGCCATGCTGCTCCTGCTGGACGTGGAAAATGCCTGACGGTCTCCCACGCGAGGTCGTCGAGACGGCCCTGGACAAACTTGGCGTTGACGGGTGCCTCCGCAGCTTCGTGACCTGAACAGCAGGACCTTCCGGGTTCGAGTCGGAAAGGACACCAGCCAACCCAGGGACAACACTGCAGGTGTACCTCAGGGTTCGGTGCTGAGCCTCTTCCTGTTCAACCTGGTGATGGCAGGGCTCCTCGCTTCTCTTCCGACAGGCACCAGGTTCCCGGCCCGCTGCTCCATCTACGCGGACGACGCGGCGTTCTGCGCCCGAAGATCGAGGCGGTTCGTTCCAGCCATCAGGATGTCACTGGAGGTGGCCCTGCATGCGGTGACTGCCTACCTGAGTGGCATCAGACTCAAGGTCTCCGCATCCAAGACCGAGGCCCTGCTGATCTACCTGCTGGTGGCAGCACGATGCTACGTGAAGCAGCTGAAGATTGGCAACCGCAACCTGTCTTGGAAGCTGATGGTAAAGTACACTGGGCTCACCATCGACCACCCTCTCACCTGGATCCCAGCTGCCAAGGTCGCCTGCACACAGGTACGACGTGTCCAGGGAGCCATCAGCAAGCTGCAGCAGCGTGGACGCAGCTGCTCCACCAAGCTGGCGCTTCGACTCAACCAGGCTTCAGCGTCCTCAGTCCTGCTGTACACCTCCCCACTGGTGGCCTTGGCCGCTGCCAGTACACTGAACCTGGAGGGACACCACAGGAGAGCAGTGAAAGCCATCCAGGGGCTCCCCAGGTACTCCCCCGTGGCAGCGACCCTGGCCGAGGCTGGAGAGAGGCCCCTGTTCCTGCGCATGCTCGAGCGTGCACTGGGGCACGTAGACCGCCTTCACCGTGCAGCCGATGGCAGCATTCTCTTGGAGCGACTTCACAGCCAGCCGAGGTCACGGCTGGCTGTGAAGTCTCATATCACTCTACCACCAGATGGTCCCAGATCCACCAGTTCGGTGGCCCCACCACCAGTCACATGAGGTCCACCTATACCTGGACGGGGTATCCAAGCGCCGAACGCCTGCTGCAGCACTGCAACAGGCCGCCGTCTCCAAGCTCCAGCAGCAACAGGCAGGGTGGCTCCAGGTCTTCACTGATGGATCCGTCATGCCAGACGGTACAGCGGTGGCTGTCTGCGTTATCCCATTCCGGGCTATCAGCATGCAGTGCCGACTACACTTTTCGGTGAGCTCGACGGCTGTGGAGCTGGCAGGACTACACCTGGTGGCGGACCTGATGGTTGAGGACGTTCCGGCTGAGCCGGTAACAGTCCTGTGTGACAGCAAGGCAGCGCTGCAGACGCTGGCCAACCATCGCCGTGCCGGGCTCACGGGGAGTCTCCTGGCAACTAAGTACCGGGACCTTGTAGCAGCCAAGACGTCCGTCTCCTTCCACTGGCTGCCCTCTCACGTGGGCATAGTTGGCAACGAGGAGATGGACACGCTGGCCAAGGCTGCACACCAGCCGGGAACCCCATCACCAAAGCCGTGGCGGTGAGGAACCTCACGCAGGCTCGTATCAAGAAGCTCCTCGCCTTGGTCCACCCAGACCAGAGGGTGGCCATTGGGCGGGGACCCAGGCATCTTCCCGAGGCAGGCCTTACCAGGAGAGAATGAGCCGACCTCCTGCGGCTGTGAACCGGATGCGTGAGGACCGTGGCCCGCCGCTACATCAAGGGACGCTGCACCTCCCCAGCCTGCAGCCGTTGTGGTGACTCCTCTGTGCCTGCCCTGTCTTGGCACAGGAACGCTCGAGGGTCACCGCAGCCTACCGGAGACATAGCCTTCCTGCCACCACCCCGGAGCACCTGCTCTTCCCTTCTCTTCCCCATATACCAGTGCTACGGATCCTGGTGGAGTTCCTGGACGAGACGGGAATCGTGGCCTACTGCTGAGAACGGGCCCCTTGCCAACCCCTACCCTTGCTTCCGGACTGATGCTCGTGCTGAAGACGACTGTACCACTTCTTACTTAATCTTTTTCTGTTCTTTCCACTTTTCTCCCATTTCCCTTTCTTGCAGGCACTGCGCCGTGCTCCCGATCGGGCTGCAGAAATTAGGTGGATTTCTCCGCTTCTGACCACCACCACCCCTCTATGTGTGTCGTGTTGTTGATAATGTGTGATAACCCGGTTTTCTGAAATTTGTCGTCTCCGTGCATGATGTGCGTTGCGCACTTCGCACGTAGCCCGCCATGGTCCTTAGTCCGGCGAGCCATCGATATATCGGCATACCACAAACGAGAACACAATCGGTCCCTCTCCGCCCAGCAATCGCTCAATGGCGTTCGCTCACGTAAAGTATTCTTGCACCGAGGCATGACTGTGGTGTACTACCGCTGTATACACCGGAAAATCAAGCTTCTTCTTGAAGAGAAACACTGGTGGTTAACTAATGTATCGTCCCCAAAGCCATTTATTTTCTCAAAATAATTCCTACACTGTATAACAAATTACTATATAGCCCCACCGCGTACTTGTGCAGAACTCAGTAACAGGCCCCACTTGATGTTTAACATTGTAATATTTCAAAACACTCTACAGGAGTTCATCTGTTGGCCAATCACTTATATGAAAGAATCATAGCCATCACCATGGTGCAGGTGGCCAAGCAGTACCCGTGAAGGAATTGCCCCATGCTGCGCCACGTCCACTGTTGGTAGGCCGCTACTGTTGCCAAGGTTCTGGGTCTGTGCTCACTCTGCGGCGGACAGGCACTGGTACACCGCAGTGCTTGCAGATCGTCGTCCAGTCGCTGCATGCCACCGACTCGACACAGCAACGCCTGGTCATCTGACGTGCAGTAGAGGCCGCGGCAAACCAAAGCATTCTCGCTGACCTCCTCTGAGCAGCGTAACCGACCTCTGTGTTGGTCCCTTCGTTTGGGAGAAATAAAATTTTGGTTGCCATTCAATGTATGGCAGCGGTGCTATTCGCCTCCGTCGTGAAACATCTCTGCTGGAGACGCTGATACGATGCTGTGATATTATATTGCAAATAAACAGAACTTGTTTCTTCTTCAAAATTGTTGGAAAAGGTAAGTTAGCATACAGTACCTACAAAGTAGAGTCGACCGAATCTTCCATCAATCCTGCGGCTGCGGCAGTTTTGTTTTCGTCTTCCAAATGCGACAGAATTTCTGGAAAGGGCGAGGGCAAGTACATGCCCACTAAGCGCAGGCTCTAAACAAAATGCATCTTCGTTTTGCCATAAGGCACTGACATTGAAGAAAGTAGCAGCTGCTGAAGCTAGCTAAAAATTGGGCCTAAGAGATATAATAGTCACACTTCGTATTAGAACGAGACAGAAAAAGTTAAGGGAGAACGCCAACAAGTCGAGATAAAACCATCAGTCATTGTGAGATCAAGGGTATTCTTGGCAGCCGAAACTTGGTACGTACTTGAGGTGTTGTGCATGAACCGTTGAAACGTACAGATGCTCCAGTAGCTATAAAGGAACATATTAACTGCGGCCGAACTGCATGCCAGCGCGCTCTGTAAGAATAAGCGCTGCAGATAGCGGGAGTGCGTCGGCACCTCTTACTGAATCATCACGATATTCTGTTGCTCACCCTATGACCAGCTAGAACCAACTCGGACAGCTACTTTCCCTGTTCTTCGGATGTTTTCAAAAATAAGCGCATTTCTTTGCCCTCCTCGTGACGAAATCTTCGCAGTCATGCACTTTCTTGAGCGCGATTCACGATGGGTCACAAAGACAAGTCCATTTAGGTGGAGTGCACTCGGTTACGGGAAAAAGCGGTGATTCGCGTCGTCAAGGAAGTCGATTTGAGGAGCGTTTGTATTTACAAGAATAAGTTACTCTGTAGGGCATGTCTTATGTCTTGCTTCCGAGCAAATGTTCCCCCGCTGCGTTGGCTTCCCCGATACGCGGCCAAACCACTGAAAATTTTCAGGCTTTTATCACCAATGACAGAGCTTAACTTATGTCAGACGTCATAGCCACGCAGCCATTAGCATATTATGCCTTGCTTCCGAGCTAAAGTTCCCCCGTCGCACTGGCTTCCCCGCATAACACAGCCAAACCCACCGAAAAAAGTTTAGGCCCTTATCACCCACAATATAGTTTGCATACTGTATACTGTTCTTTCTATACTTTGTATACTGTTCCTTTTTCTCTACTAATAACTGAAAAACAAACTCGAATAAACAAAAAGGCTCAACATCTGTCTGACGTCGCAGCATGCAGTGAAGGGCTTATTATGACTTGCTTCCAAGCTGAATTCCTTCGTTGCGTTGGCGTCCCCGCAATATATGGCCAAAACCACTGAAAAAGGGTTAGGCACTTATCACCTATGATAAGCCTCAACATTTCTCTGAGGTCACAGCATGCGGCGATGGGCTTATTATGTCTTGCTTTCTAGCTGAATTCCTCCGTTGCGTTGGCGTCCCCGCAGTACACGGCCAAAACAACTGAAAAAAAGCTTAGGCCCTTATCACCTATGATAATCCCATCGCCGCATGCTTTGACGTCAAACAAATGTTGAGGCTTATGTCTTGCTTCCGAGCTGAATTCCTCCGTTGCGTCGGCTTTCCCACAATTCACCAAAAAACCTGCTGAAAAAAGTTTAGGCCCTTATCACTTATGGTAAGCCTCAATATTTATCTGGCGTCACGGCATGCAGCGATGGGCTTATTATGCCTTGCTTCCAAGCTGAATTCTTCCGTTGCGTTGGCTTTCCCGCAAAACACAGCCAAAACCACTGAAAGAAGTTTAGGCCCTTATTACCCATGATAAGCCTCGGCCTTTGTCTGACGTCACAGCATGTGACCATTGGCTTATTATGCCTTGCTTCGGAGCCAAAGTTCCCCCGTTGCGTTGGCGTCCCCGCAGTACAGGGCCTAAACCAGCAAAAAAAGTTGAGGCCCTTATCACCCGAGATAAGGCTCAACTTTTATCTGACATCACAGCCCGGCAGCGATCAGCTTTTCATGACTTGCTCCTGAGGTGAATTTCCCTTTGTTCGTTGGCTTTCGCGCAATACCCGGTCAATACCCCCGCGTCGGAGGAAATGCAGCTCGGAAGCAAAACATAATACGCCAATAACTGCTGATTGTGACGTCAGACAAAAGTTGAGCCTTATCATAGGTGATAAGAGCTTCAACTTTTTTTACTGGTTTTGGCCGTGTGTTGCGAAGAGGCCAACGCAACTATGTAAACGTAGCTTGGAAGCAAAACAAAATAAGCCCATCGCTGCAGGCTGTGACGTCGGAAAAAAGTTGTGCCTTATCTTGGGTGATAAGGGCCTCAACTTTGTTCAGTGGTTTTCGCCGTGTATTGTGGAAAAGCCAACGCAACGAGAGAAATTCAGCTCAGAAACAAGACATGAAAAGCTGGTTGCTGCCAGGCTGTGACGTCAGAGAAATTTTGAGCCTTATCTAGGGTGATAAGGGCCTAAACTTTTTTCAGTGGTTTTGGCCGTGTATTGCGGGAAAACCAACACAATGAGGGAAATTCAGCTCGGAAGCAAGACATGAATAGCTGATCGCTGCTGGGCTGTGACGTCAGACAAATGTTGAGCCTTATCTTGGGTGATAAGGGCCTCAACTTTTTTCAGTGGATTAGGCCCTGCACTGTAGGGACGCCAACCCAACCGGGTAACTTTGGCTCCAAAGCAAGGCATAATAAGGCCATCGCTGCTGGTTGTGTGGTTGTGACTTCAGACAAATGTTGAGCCTTATCATGGGTGATAAGGGCCTCAACTTTTTTCAGTGGTTTAGGCCGTGTACTGCGGGCAAGCCAACGCAACGGGGGGATGCAACTTGGAAGCAAAACATAATAAGCCCATCGCTGCAGGCTGTGACGTCAGAAAAAAGTTGTGCCTTATCTTGGGTGATAAGGGCCTCAACTTTTTTCAGTGGTTTAGGCCGTGTACTGCGGAGAAGCGAACGCAACGGGGGAATTTAGGCTCTGAAACAAGGCATAATAAGGCCATCCTTGTTGGTTGTGACGTCAGACAAAAGTTGAGCCTTATCATGGGTGATAAGAGCTTCAAGTTTTTTTCACTGATTTTCACCTTGTGTTGCTGGGAAGCCAACGCAACGGGGGAAATGCAGCTCGGACGCAAAACATATTAAGCCTACCACTGCAGGCTGTAAAGTCAGAAATAAGTTGAGCCTTATCTTGGGTGATAAGGGCCTAAACTTTTTTCAGTGGTTTTGGCCATGTATTGCGGGAAAACCAACGCAACAAGGGGAATTCAGCTGAGAAGCAAGACATGAAAAGTTGATCGCTGCTGGGCTGTGACGTCAGACAAATGTTGAGCCTTATCAAGGGTGATAAGAGCTTCAACTTTTTCGCTAGTTTTGACCATGCGTTGCGGGGAAGCCAACACAACGAGGGAAATTCAACTCGGACGGAAGACATGAATAGCTGATCGCTGCTGGGCTCTGACGTCAGACAAATGTTGAGCGTTATCTTGGGTGATAAGGGCCTCAACTTTTTTCAGTGGTTTAGGCCCTGCACTGTGGGGACGCCAACGCAACGGGGTAACTTTGGCTCCAAAGCAAGGCATAATAAGGCCATCGCTGCTGGTTGTGTGGTTGTGACATCAGACAAAAGTTGAGCCTTATCATGGGTGATAAGGGCCTCAACTTTTTTCGGTGATTTAGGCCGTGTACAGCCGGGAAGCCAACGCAACGGGGGGGGGGGGACTGCAACTCGGAAGCAAAACATAATAAGCCCATCGCTGCAGGCTGTGACGTCAGAAAAAAGTTGTGCCTTATCTTGGGTGATAAGGGCCTCAACTTTTTTCAGTGGTTTAGGCCGTGTATTGCGGGGAAGCGAACGCAACGGGGGAATTTAGGTTCCGAAACAAGGCATAATAAGGCCATCCTTGTTGGTTGTGACGTCAGACAAAAGTTGAGCCTTATCATGGGTGATAAGAGCTTCAACTTTTTTCACTGATTTTGGGCGTATGTTGCGAGGAAGCCAACGAAACGGGGGAAATGCAGCTCGAAAGCAAAACATAGTAAGTCCATCGCTGCAGGCTGTGACGTCAGACAAAAGTTGTGCCTTATCATGGGCGATAGAGGCTTCAGCTGTTTTCACTGGTTTTTGGCCGTGTATTACGGAGAAGCCAACGCGACTGGGGAAATGGGGCTCGGAAACAAAACATAATAAGCCCATTATTGCAGGCTGTGACGTCAGACAAAAGTTGTGCCTTATCTTGTGTGATAAGAGCCTCAACTTTTTGCAGAGGTTTAGACCGTGTACTGCTGCGAAGCCAACGCAACAGGGGAAGTTAGGCTCCGAAACAAGGCATAATAAGGTCATTATTGCTGTTTGTGACGTCAGAAAAAGGTTAAGCCTTATCTTGGGTGATAAGGGCCTAAGAATTTTTCAGTGCCATTGGCCGTATATTGCGGGAAAGCCAACGCAACGAGGGAAATTCAGCACAGACGCAAGACATGAATAGCTGATCGCTGCTGGGCTATGACGTCAGACAAATGTCGAGCCTTATCTTGGGTGATAAGGGCCTCAACTTTTTTCAGTGCTTTCGACCATGTACTGCGGTAAGGCCAACACAACGGGGCAATTTAGGCTATGAAACAAGGCATAATAAGGCCATCCTTACTGGTTGTGACGTCAGAGAAAGGTTGAGCCTTATCATGGGTGATAAGAGCCTCAACTTTTTTCACTGGTTTTGGTCGTGTGTTGCGAAGAAGCCAACGCAACTATGAAAACGTAGCTTAAAAGCAAAACAAAATAAGCCCGTCGCTGCAGGCTGTGACGTCAGAAAAAAGTTTAGCCTTATCTTGGGTGATAAGGGCCTAAACTTTTTTCAGTGGTTTTGGCCATGTATTGCGGGAAAACCAACGCAACAAGGGGAATTCAGCTGAGAAGCAAGACATGAAAAGCTGATCGCTGCCGGGCTGTGACGTCAGACAAAAGTTG